ATAGATAGATAGATAGATAGATAGATAGATAGATAGATAGATAGATAGATAGATAGATAGATAGATAGATAGATAGATAGAAGAATGCTAAATATGTTAGAAGCTACAAGAATTTTATATATTCTTTTTTGAAAAAGATGGTGATCCCCTCTGTTGACCCATGGCTAATGAAATTGTGGGAGTATAGTTCAACATCTAAGTTCACTTCATATTTTAAAAGGATATTGGATTTAGAAATTTATTCTGTTTGGAGTTTAGATGACAACTACATACGTGAAATGGTGCCAAATCCAACATTTGTGTTTCAGTGTTTATTTTTTACTTTGATGTATAACCTACACACTATTTATAGGATCCCTTTAATGTTTTATTTATTATCTAGACATATAATATTTTAGATTTGTTGATTCCCATATCTATAATTTTTATTGAGTGTAATTATTAACTATTCATCTATTTTCGTATATCTAACTTTGTAACAGTACTCTTTTTCTTTCCATTCTTCTTTGAAAATTATAATAAATACCTCATAAAAATAAATAAAATGTCAACCAAAGCAGAAAGTATCATTTTAATTCTTCTGAATATTTACTGCACTTTCAGGTTGGAGAAACTGCACTTTACAAAATCCCACAGAGGGCTGCTTGTTGAAGTCTTTAGGACTAACCAGAAGTTGAAGGAGTTAAATTTGTCCCTTGAAGACACAAATGATATAGCAATGAACTTGGTGTGTGTGGAGCTCCAACATCCAGATTGTAAAGTAGAAACACTGGAGTGAGTGATCAGTATTTCTATTTCAGTTTAACACAAAGCTGGAAGGAATTGGAAGACAGACTCAAGATTCAGAAGGATGTTGACAGAATTGAGCTTTGGGTCCTATTGAATGAGATGCAGTTCAGTGGTGAGAAAACTTAGGTCCTACACTTATGCGGGAAAACCAAATGTATAGACTAGGCTGTATTTGGCTCAACAGTAGTGATTATGAAGGGGATGGGGCCGCAGTGGCTTACATGGTAAGACGCTGGGCCTGCTCATCGCTGAGGTCAACAGCTCAATGGCTTGATTCCCATGAATGAATACACTGTGGAGAGACAAGAAAGGAGCCTCCCCCGATTGCCTACTGGCATTCAGGCATCCCGCGGGTAAAGATAACACTGCCCAAAAAAATTCCTTTCACAGAGGCAGGCAGCCACCTCGGTGATCCCTGGCTAACACATGCCATATGCTAAACAAACAAACAAACAAATAAATGAGGGGGATCTTGGTGGACCATCCTTCTAATGGATCATCACTTAAGTATGATTCAGCACTGTGATACAGCTTTCTAGGAAGAGTGCAGAGAAGAGCAACAAAATAAAAGGGAACTGGGGGCTAATCTATATGATTATATGATAGATAATAATCCTCTATAGAACTGGACTTCCGGTTTGTCGGCTTCGCGAGCGGCAGGGATTTGCGAAGCTGCGCGATCCCTGCCGCGCTAGCCGCTTCTGGGGCTCCGACCCAGATGGGTACGGAGCTAGGCTGCCCTGCAGGGGCAGCTGAAGGTAGGGGGGATCCGGAGAGGGGGTTGGGGGTGTTGCAGACCCCCTCCCCGGCCGGCAGAACCCCCTTTTCCCAGGACGGTGCAGCGGCGGTCTGTAATGGCCGCCACAAAGAAGCTGGCAGCCGGGTAAGAATGCGCAGGAGGAAGTGGAGAAAGTGCTTGAGAGGAGAAAGTTTTTCTTGGCTCCTAGGACTCTAAGACATATTCAATAAAATTCCTGAAAAGTATGACTTTCTGAATAATACCTGCCAGAAGAGGAAAAAAGCGGCTGTTTGAAGGTGCTGAAAGGATAGCTTTCCCTCTTTTCCTACGGAATAAATAACTGGATATTAAGAAACCTATTTTTTTTAGGTGAAAATCGGTTTTAAGCGATGAGTGGGAAGAGAGAGGATTAAAAAGAAAATATTTGTATGCTAAGATTTTGTTGGAGCAGATGCCTTAAGGATTTGAAGACTAGAATATATTGCAATAAGACTTTAAACAGATTTGGACTTTCTTTCTCTTTGATTGATATTACCCCAGAAGGAGAAAGTGAGAACTCTGCCTTGGTTTGGACTGACTGATAACTTTGGGACTGTTTTATTTTTTTTTTATTTTCTTTTGAATATTCTGGTTGTTGTAAAAAGAAAGAAGGGGAAAAGAAAAGAAAAGATTTATAATGGCTCTTTCTGTTGAGGAACTAAGAAAAGAATATGAACAAGCAAAAAAAAAATGGTAAAGATGGTGTGGAAGAAGCTTTCCTTTTTTTAGAAATGGCGCTTACTAACTATCAACAAACATTACAACAGATGAAGACAGCAGAGGAACAAGAAAGAAAGGAAGGAGCCATTTTTAATGAATCTCAGAATTTGATCAAGAAAGAAGGAAGAGAGAAAGAAAAGAAAAGAAGAGAAAAAAAGAAGAAAACTAAAGGACTTAAGGACTTAAGATCTAAAAAAACATTTAAGAAAGGGAAAAATAAGGTGCAAAACCAATATGATGATAGTAAACAAAAGGGAAAAGGAATACGACAGAGAAGGGAAGCCGGTAAGGCAGAGGCTAGAAGAAGGGGGGGTAGAAAGGTTTGTTGGGAGAAGAAAGAAAGGAAAAAGGTGGAGAAAAGCTACAACGTTTTGAAATTAAATGAAAAAAAGGAATTTTTTATGGATAATGGATAAAGTATAATTTTTTTAAAAAAAAAAAAAGATTTTGCAAGGTACATAAGATGAGATGGTAGTATTGTAATGGTTTAAGAGTTGATAAGAGATTAAAATGTTAAAATGTTTAAAAATGATTGGCTTTAAAATTTAATAATATGAGGTTTATAATACTGTTTTAATTAAAGAGTTTAATAAGATTATGGTATTGATGTTATTATAAAATTTTTATTATAGTATCTTTTTTTAATATTTGGATTTACTGTCTAATTATGTACTTAATTATGTTGGATGTATTAGTTAGATAGAATGTACCAAGCAAAATCGGATTGGGTATTGGATATTATTTTAAAGATTAATTTGATTAACTTAGGGGGGAGATAGAAAGGCATCATACTCTGATTAATGATTTCAGGAGAAACTTATTTTCTTCTTTTTTATAAGGAATGAGACAAAGGGATGATAAAAAATGGACAAAAGATACAAATATAATGATTCAAACTAAGATGATTAATTAAGATAGAATTAAGAAGGGTGAAATATGTGGAGAAGTTAATATAGAAGGCTTAGAATGGTAAATAAAATAAGTAATGATATGTAAGATGAGCATGAATATAATTGAAGTCCATGAAGAGAGAGACACCTGGGTCCAAGTTACTTTCCAAAAAGATTTTTTTTATGTTTTGTATGTTGTGTGTATATGTCTTTTTGGGGGGGAGAATTAGTAAAAACTTGTAGAAATATAGAATGAGAATAATGGTAACTAAGTCAGAAAGAAACAGATGAAATAATAATAATGATATTGAATAAGAGTAAAGAGAAGTAAAGAGAAATTGAATAAGAGGTTTTGGTATGTTATATGGAAATGGTTTAAAACAGAATCATAATTTATCTGACTTGTTAAATTTACAAGGAAAAAAGGTTTAAACATGTAATTTGTGTGTTTTAAAAATTAATAAAACTTGTTTTAAAAAAAAAAAAATCCTCTATAGAACTGTATCAGTAACTCGTTGGGCAATCTGAGTTTTCTGAGTAGATGGAGGAAGAACATTTTTATTGATGGTTCTGATATTAGGTGTCCATTTCAAGTCCTGGGAGATTATAGAACCCTGAAACCTGAAGGTTTCCACTGTTGATACTGTGTTGTCTAATATTGTAAGAAGTGGTAGAATAGGAGAGCTTCTCCTAAAATGCTATCATTCTGCTAAATTTCTAATTCCTTCAGCACTCTCTTATGCCTAAAGATATTTTGTAGTAGGGCTGTATTGCTATTATCATTCTCATCTTCTCATCCTTCTCATTTTTTTCAACCTTCTAATCTTTCTCAACTTTCCTACTATCTTATCCTATTAGTATCATATGTTTTATTACTTGTTTGTATCTTATGATATAAGATTGCACATTATGATTTATGATCTGCAATTTACTAGTATATACACAGAGAGCTTAAATACCGGAAACAAATTCCTTGTGTGTCTAATCACACTTGGCCAATAAAGAAGATTCCTACTCCTACTCCTAGTCCTATATTAACAGTTAATGGAACTAAGTATGCGTAGCCTATTGAAGAAATGAATGAGGGGTGATATTGTTGTCTTCTAGTTGTCTTCTAGTACTTGAGGAGCTGTCAAAGAAAAAAGTGTGTCCAAATCATCTGAGGGCAGGAGAAGAAGCAGGGGGTTGGAAGAGAGGTCAATCTGGAACTAAATAGAAATTTCCTAGCAGGAAAAACAATTCATCAATGGAACAGCTTGCCTCCCTGAGTTGTTGTACTTCATCCCTGGAGGTCTTCAAGGGCAGCTATTGTCCAGGATGCAATTATGTCTCCTGCCTTGGGCAGGGGTTGAACCAGAAAACCTTGAAAATCCCTTCCAGCCTTATGATTCTGCAAAGGCTGCATGTTTTGTTTAAATGATTCTAATGTATTTCTTCTTTTATGTTTATTCTTGATATTGAAGGAGTTCCACATTTTACAGAGTGTTGTTAGTTATGATTTAGGAGCTCTAGAACTGATGCCATGCTCACATGCTAGTTTGGCTCTTCTCCCCCAGATTTAATGGGAGCCAAGCATAGCTGTTATGTTGTAGTTTAAACCTTGTCATGGATCTGCCTTCAGATGCCCTGCTGACGTGAGCTTGGAGGAGGAGGGTGAGTTTGAGTCGGCAGAGGAAAGCACAGAGCTGAGTGTTTGGGGATTGGGGTTCAAAAAGTGCTAGTTCGGTGGAGCAGCCTCAATTGGGTTGATTGGGTAAGCAACAGGTTGAGGGTAAGTGAGGCAAGGCACAGCTGCAGCAAGTTGGCCAGGCTTGTCTCCTGGCCAGTTTCCAGGTGAGGACTGGGAGCAGCTACCACCAGTTAGCAATGAAGAGGAGTTGGGGTCCACACCTCCTTCAGATCCAAGGACAAGTAGAGCAGAGTGGAGACAGGCACAATGCCGGTCAGCTAGACTACTCACAAGGAGGCAAAGTCACCTTTCATGAAGGACTGCACCAGCATTGCCTTTTAATCCTGCTCTGAGAACTTGAGCAGTGCTGGAGCAACCTACCCAGTCTGTGCCTTGTGTGCTTGTGCCATATATCCTGACCTGTTCAACTTGTGAGCCATTTTCCTGGACTTCATGTGTGCCCATTGGACTCAGTTACCCAGTGATTTTTGCTGTGCTAAGCTCCGGGTGTGAATGAGGGTGCTTTCTGAGTGTTCTGTACGGTCATTACCATTCTTGTAGAACCACACAGCGATTGGCCAAGACACACGGCGAGCTGATTGGCCGAGCGAGCCGCACTGATTGGCCCGCCGTGAATCTCCCGCGATTGGTGGAAACTAATCACGGGAGATTCAAAGCGGTGCCATTGGCCGCAGCCGCCGCGGCAAAAGAATAAAAGCCGCCGTTTTTCCTTACGGACCCCGAGCCGATCTCGGGACCAATAAATGAGCTGAATTGAGTCACTGGCTCCGAGTCTTTTTCCTTGCACCAGACACGACACTGAGGACCTGTTCTTTTTGGGGGGGAGGAGTTTGAATAAGAACCTGTGGACTCTTGATATATGGGGGGGGGGGGGGGAGCCAGGTAGCACAAAACTTGTAAAGATCAATAATTTATCTATTTGAAACATCAACACCAAAACCAGAATAAATAGCTGCACAAAAAAGAAGGTGGGAAAACACCAGGGGTGGAATTCTACTGGTTCGGACTGATTCAGTAGAACCGGTTGTTATGATTCCTGGTAGTTCTGAGAACTGGTAAATTGGGCCCCTGGCTGATCCCACCCCTCTCCGCCCACTTCTCCGCTTCCTGCCCAGTTAGTCCTTATCACGCATGCATGACATTGCATGCATGTGTGAAAATCGCTGACTGCCAGTCTGTCTTTGCCCACCAGCCATCACTGTCTGCCTTCCACCATCATGATCTCCCTAAGTGAGTGAGGCTCTGCAAGCCCTGGTTGCCACTGCTGCTGCCAGCCTCAGTTGAGTCCTGACTCCTGGGCCAGCCTAGGCTGCCACCACCGTGCTGCCAGTGCCGCCCCCGCCACAACCGCCACAAGCCCCAGTTGAGTTCTGACACCCGGGCCAGCCTAGGCTGTCACCGCCAGGCCTCCACCACCCTCAGTGCTCGTGGCCTAGCTAGCTTCCCCCCCAACTATTCCTGTCTGGCTTGCTTAGCCACCAGTGCCGCAGTTCCCATGCGGCACTCACAGCCTAGCAAGCTTCCCCCCCAACTGTCCTGGCTGTCTGGCTTGCTTAGCTGCCAGCTCTGCAACATGCAGCACTGGCAGCCTAGCAAGCTTCCCCCCACCCCACTGTCCCCAGCCTCAAGCTTACCTGGCTTGCTGGTGGCAGAGAGGTAGGCAAGTCAGAGCTGACGCATCGCCACTCGGATCCCCACCAGCCTGCATCTCGCCCCCACCTGGATTCTCCACAGCTGCTGGGCCTTGCCTGCTAGGGACAGGGGTGGGGGTCGATGACCAGGGAGCACAACGCTATGCCGCCCAGCCCTCATCGCCCCTTTGCCTGCTGCCTCTTCCCTCTGCCAGGGGCAATGCAGGTGGCATCTCGTGTTTCCTGGTTGCCTCCCGCATTCAACTAAAATGCTCAGCCAGGTGAGGGAGGAGCGGCTGGCAGAAGGGTGATGTGGGCAGCGTAGCCTTGTGCTTCCTGGTTGCCTCTTACACCCCCTGGCAGCCGCGAGTCCCAGCAGCTGTGGAGAATCCGAGCAGGGGATGAGATGTGGGCTGGCAGGGAGGCAAGTGGTGACGGCTCTGCCCTGGCTGGCTCAACTTTTCCTCTGTCACCAGCCACAGGAGGAATATAAGTTTGCAGGCAGTCGGGATAGCCCAAACCACTGCCTAGACCAGAGCTGCTGCCCACCCCACCGGCAGCTGCTGGGGTGGGTGAGGCTGCAGCGCACACCTCGCTTGAAGTTCCCAGCCTTTCCCCAAAAGAGGGGAGGAGAGGAAGTCCTACCCGCAGCCCCTTTGTTGGACCTGGAAGCCTTGCTTCTCTGGGCAACGTGGGACCGGGCATGAATGGACAATTGCGGCCAGTCCTTGGGACTCTAGGAGACTCGTCACGAGCAATGGTTCCAGGCGAGTATTTTGTTGGAAGTGTATGTGGGGGGAGGTTGTTTCAGGTGGGTCTCCTAGCTTTAGGAAGAGAGAGGGAAGGAGGAAGGAAAGGGATGGGGGGGGAGAGAGAAGAAGAGAAAAAGAGAGAGGGAAAGAAAGAGGAAGAGAGAGGAAGAGAGAGACCAAAAGAGAGAGAGAGAGAGAGAAAGAGGGGGAGAGAGAGAGGGGGGGGGAAAGAGACAAGAAAGAAAAGAAAGAAAAGGAAAATAAAAAGAAAGGAAGAAAAGGGATAGACAAAGAAAGGGATGGAAGGAAGGGACAGAAAGAAAGAAAAAGGAAGGAAGAAAGGAAGAAAGAAAGAGAAAGAAAAAAGAAAGAAAAAGAAAGAAAGAAAGAAAGAAAGAAAGAAAGAAAGAAAGAAAGAAA